CATTTGGGTGACCACGTGGATGCTACATGAGGATGAGCAAATTCTTGAGATTAATTTGGGTTTGGTAGTTCTGAGGGACCATAGAGAAACAAAGAAATGTAGTTCTAAGGTCCAGAAGAAAAAAGGGGAATTTTATAACATCGGTTTAGGCTGATCGGCAGAGTTGAGTGTCCGCCCAAAAGTCTGTGGTCTATGAAGAATGAATTTTATTTTATTTTTAAATTTTTTGAATTTATTTACTTATTTTTTGGTACTAGAAATCGAACTCAGGATCTTACACTTACCAGGCAGGCACTGTGCCACTGAGTCATATCCCTGGCCCTAAAGAATGAATTTTAAGCCAGGTGTGGTGGCACACGCCTGTAATCCCAGCCCTTGGGAGGCTGAGGCAGGAGGATCGTTTTGAATTTGAGACCAGCCTGGGCTACAAAGTTAGCTCAAGGCCAGCCTGAACTACATAGCGAGACCCTGTCTCAAAAAAGACAAAAAAAAAAAAAAAAAAAGTTAAGAATGAATCTTAAAAGCCTGCTTAAAAAATAATCAGAAAGGAGGAACTAGGAAAGCATAACATGGACCGAAGGTGAGGAGTTCAAGAAGGAATGCTAGTTGGTGATCTGAGGGCCACCTTGCCAGAGTCATCTGGTTGCCAACTGTAATCCCACCAGTCATACTGAATCTGCATGCCAAGAGATGTGGCCAAGGAATTTGCATTTTTAACAAGCATCCTGAGGGACTTTTATGAATGCTAAAATATGTGCACCGATTGGCAGCCACAAAGCAGAGCAGTGCGGTATGATGAGGCCTGAGCAGAGGACCCGGAGTCTGGCAAGTAGAAGGACCCCCAGAGCTTGAGTTGTTCATAAAGGGTGGTTGAAACAGAATGCATTTTGCCTATGTAAGGCACTGTGGTAAGGAAAGGTAGTTAATCATTTTAAGAAAGTAGGCAATGAACCCTTAGGTACTAGAATCTCTAGAATACTTGGAGTTCTAGGAAAAGTTGTATTTTTGTTTAATATGATTTATTTGGATTAACACAGCTTATTACTTAGAATAGCTTGTGTCTGGAAGATAAAAGCAAGAAGTAAAAGACAGAAGCAAAAAGAGAAAAACTGTAGAGGAATCTAGATGACGAGGCAAAGGTTCAGGGGAGACCGGCATCAAGGGTACAAGAGCGAGGACAGATAAATCAGCTCTGAAAACAGTTTTCACACTGTGGGAAGGGTGTGAGTAGGTGATTGAGAGGGATAGAGTAGCGTTTCTCAGCTCCGTTATTATCAAATGATAGCAAATATTGGTTATGAATCCCTGTAGAAGGCCTGACATGGTTGAGTGTACACAGGTTGCTCTAATAGAAGAGTTGCAGCGATGAGCCTGTGATCAATGATTCCTGGTCCAGCCCTTATTTAAAATGCAGTTCCACTTTAGCCCAGGAGTTCTCCTTTTGGTTTTGGAAACATGGTCACCTCATTGTCACTCCTCTTAATATAAGTATATAGTAGAGAAGCAAATTAAATCTCAATATAAACGGTGTCACTTTGGCCCAAATGGAGAGTTATCTTCTTGAAAAAATGTCGAGTAATGCTATTTTTAAGCCTATAGGGATGTTGTATGTTTAAGGGTGGATCTGTGATAGACTGTTCTCAGAGAGTAACAACTCACACTCAGAGTCACCAGGTACTCCTGGCTCTATGTTGCTAAGATGTCAAATAAGTGATTCCCAGGTTGGGGGACAGAATCCCCCGGGGTGCTTGCACCCCACATGTGCCAACTACCTCCCTTCTCTCTCCCCACTCCAGACTATTCTGACACACATCCCTGATTAAGAGCCACTGCTCTAAAGAAAATGCCTTCTAATCAAAGTACTTGGGACATTTTGACTTGTTTTTATTTCCTTATAATTGATAGCATCACTCTACTACAGTTTCAATAAAACATATCTCTCTGAAATGAAGATGTGATCATATGATAACACAGTCACTTTTCCTCCATGTGATTTTCCTCAAAGAAATGTCACATAACTGCTTTTAAAATGATTTTCATTATGGTCAAGTATTAATAATAATCACCTGTATTTGATTAATTATAGTTAATAGTACCTATATGTCAAAGGTAGTTTCAGTTTGAAGTACTTATGTGTATAAACTTAAAATTGTTTTAGAAAAAATATTCATTTAAAAGAATTATTTTCAGGGGCTGGGGATTTAGCTTAGCGGCACAGCACCTGACTGGCAGGTGCAAGGTCGTGAGTCCAATTCCCAGTACCGGAAAAAAAAACAAAAAAAAAAACAGGAATTATTTTCATATTCTGCAGTGTATTGTCTTGACAGGGAATGAAAATGTGTTGCCATGTGCATTATGATGCATAATTTTATTCAAAATAAGAATATTCTAATTAGCCTTGTAAGCACAAATTGTACTTGGTTCTTGGACACTTCATGGAATTGCCTTGAACAATATTTCCAAGAACTTTTACATGCAATCCACTCATACTTCTCTCATTCATAAGACAAAATTGGATAGTAGTCAACGAATTTCAGTTTTAGAAAGCCTGCTGGGTGCAAATCTCAGAGAGTACATTCTGTGAATGACTACGGCGTGAACATGAACTTTGACTTTAATGTGGCCCTGGCTATAGAGCCCCTCACTGAAAGGACAGTCTATCTTCAGTGGTCCCACAGGGACAGGACAGAAAAATGGCACATAACACTGAGGTGTCTATCCTGATTTTGCTCCTGTAAGAGCATCTTCCCGGCAACCTCTCCCACTTGACCAGCTTCCTGTTTGCAGATGTGGTAGGGTTTAAATGCTGACTATACTTTGTTTTTTTTTTTTTTTTTTTTTTTTTTGGTTTTTCTCCGGTACCGGGAACTGAACTCACGACCTTGCGCTTGCCAGGCAGGCGCTTTTGCCACTGAGCTAAATCCCCAGCCCCCTGACAATACTTTGGAATGGGATTTTATTGCAAATTCATAATATTATTGAGGTTCACTAGAGGTCAGAGTACTTGTTTCCTCCTTATCCTTGTTTTAACTCCCTGTTTTATTTATGGACAAGTTGGCCTCCTCTAACCTAAGTTCTTTGAAAAGTTGGAACTGTGAATTCCTACATTTGGATTTTCCCTCCCCCTGCCATGCTAAGCTCGATGTTTTGCACAAAGTTGGACATTATTTAAATGCTTCTTAACCATGAATAATTAGTATAATTAGTACAATATTTTTATTTAGTTAACCATTTAATTAAAAATTGACATTAAGTGTCTACTTCCTTCCTCTAGGTCCAGCATTTGCAAATGTTCTATTTGTCAAATGTTAACATTCACTGGTCTCCTTGGTTCAAAACCCACAAATCTGATCAAAAGATCCAAAACACAAAGGAATATAAAAAAATACTGTTCCACTGGATTGTCTATACCAGCCAAATAAATGACAGGATTTATAATGCCAAATAATATTGCATGAGTTTCAAGTCAGAGTGGTTAGTGTACGGTATGTCAAGGGCATTGTGACATGGAAATGCTTATTCATATAGTCCATTAGGGACAAGTTCCTTTCTCAAACTAAGGTATAAATTTAGTAAAGGCAGTGGGAGTGGACATTTAAGTAGTTCTCCTTTAGTTTTTAAAAACTGTCATTTAATATAAATAGCAAATTACCTTGTTTGTTGGGGGAGCTGATGTGAGCTGGGAGGAGGTGGGCAGTAAAATCCCCATATACTTGCTCTGGTTTATTAAGCTTGATATTTGTAGGTCAGTGATCATAGGATTAATGCCTTCTTGTTGCCATTATTTCTTTAAAGGAAATCCTTGGCTAAAGTGTCACAATATTTTAATTATCTATCATTGTAAGAAGTTTGAGTAGGATTACTTTTGGTAGCATCCACAATTATAATTCAGAATAGATGCTTGCAGATGTCATATGTCTGGGTGAGGTGCACAGGCCCAATAAATCTTTAAGTCCTTGTAGTTCATGGTTCTCTGTTCATAGTCCAATGTATATCTCGGGCACTGGGGAGGGATTCTGTTAAATCCAATTTCCAGCATATCAGCACTCACATGAATGAATATATATATACATATATGTATGAATTTATATATACTTATTAATATTTTATGCATATATTATTACTACCCTTCAAATTAATTTAGTTTATATATAACCTAAAACAAAACAAAATATGAATTCTAAATATAGTAGAACCAAGAATACCATTTGTAAATCCTATCCATCTATAGAAATTTATTTGGGGGATAAAATGATGAAAGAAAAACATTTTTAAAAATTAAAAATTTTTTTTTGTTGCACTGTTACTATAATAGGACAGAAAAACCCAAGAATTAAATATTTCCATAATGCACTAGTTACTATTTTAGATACAAATTTGTACATTTAACCCATGTCTTTTATAAGATTTATATTAGCAAGTGGTCAAAATTAATTGACAGACACACACAAAAGCAGTCATTACACAAAATCCTACAGGCCTCTGAAATCTGATTCTTATTAAAGGGAAAGTTTTTAGCTACGGAGCTGTGAACTGGCTAAGGCTGAATTTCAGTTTGATCAAAAGCCCATCCTTTAAATAGCAGGCAATGGCCTCACTGGTCTTTTTCTGAATCTCCTTCCTGTGTCTCAGCCTCCCTCCAAGCCATCACCCCTCATATGACAGCTGGAATACCAAGTCATAATAAAGGCCTGTCCATCCAGCTGCGCATGCCCAGTAGACGGACTAGACAACAGACCAACAAATAACTCTTCAGAGTCCATGGCCGACAATCTCCTAACACCAATCACCTTCACTGAATGATGCAAAAGCAATTCTGGATTAAAGCTTCCGGCGACTATGCTATCACCCCACGTAACCCGAAAGCTATGCGCCATGGGAGAAACTCAAGGAGATGCCTGCCTGGTGACATCGCAGTTGCAGTCTGGGAGGTCTGCATCCACACTGCCGTCCTCTGCCATCCTGCGGGCACGCAAGTCCTCCGCCACCACCATGAAGCTTCCACTTGCAAAAGTTAGGGTCTGCAGAGCAGAAGGCTAACTCCCGAGGGGGGATGAAAGTTTCCCCTTCTCTGTGTAGAGAAGTTTGAAAATGCTCGCGCCAGACAAATGGTGGTAGTCTCTGCCCGATAACATGACACTGAGCGGTGACAAGTGGTCATGTTTCTAAATAAAACCTACATTCATTAACATGTGCCAGGCTTGATCTCCTGGAATGTAGGCCACGAGGGTAAGAAGGGGAACAAGCTCAGTGTAATCTGCAGGGAGGAGGCGGCCACAGGTCTAAAGAAAGGATATCAAAAATAATGCCAGCCGCAGAGGCTCCACCCTTCTGGGAGGACAGGCAAATTTCCTTGCAGGCTGTTTGTGACACTGGAAAGGCCACTTGAAAAAGACAAACCACTCATGTGCAGACTAACCAAACAAAACTCCGCAAGAACAGCAAATTGTAGTAGCAAAATGGAGCAACTTCTCCTTTTCGTCAATTCAACCTGCCAGCTCCCTGGTGTAAGTAGGACTGTTTGGAAAAGGGGAGGGAAACGAAAGGTTGTGGCAAAGCACTTGGGCTGTTCCTTTGGACAGACTATTTGAGAATGAACAATAATGAGGAAATATTAGTCTTTCCTGCATATATTCAAAATGGTTGTCCTATCAAAAATAATGATGTAAGAAATCCCAGTGCTTGGGAAGCAGAGTCAGGAAGACCATGAGTTGAAGAATAGCCTGGGCTATGTAGCCAGACCCTGTCTCAAAAAAGAAAAAAACAAGCAAGAAAGAAAAGAGAAGAAAATAAGGAAAAAAAGGTGGAAAGAAGGAAAAGAAAAAAGGGAAAAGAAAGGGAAAAAGGAAAGAAAGAAAAGAAACAAAAAAAGATGTAGGTGACAAATATAGCATGTTTATTTTAAGATAATTTTTCAAGCCTATTCATTTGCTTGATGGGTTCCATTCAACTTTTTTTTTTTTTGTATAAATTTCAAGTTTCCAGATATCCTTCACTGAGTTTCTAAGAAATATAACAAATATTCAAAGGCATCCACCAGATTACGTTATGCTTTAATGACTCGGTGTGGCCAAACTTTGGAAGAGGGGAGAGTCCTGGATGAGGCTGACTCATTGAATTTGGTGTTTCAGCTGGCAGTTCACAGTGAAGACAGGTGTGGGAGAGGTTGTGCAGCCTCTGTCCCAGTAAACAAGGAAAGGGAAAGCAAATGGGGTGGCCAAGTGTCTTGGGAGAAGCCAAAAGAGAAACTGTGAATGCAATGTGGCGTTAAACACCAAGGCACGTTAGTGACCAGTATGTTATCTGATCTAATTCTGAAGGAGGCAATTAGAAATGGAACGCTATCTGTGCACAAGGAGGCTCTATAGAATCGGCACCTAGACAAGCATTTAAGTGACAATAATGCAAAGCATGTGTACCTTGTATGTACATAATTGATTCGATCTTATTCATGTGTCTTTTCATAAAGTAAATTAAATAACATCTAGGAAATGATCACCTGAAAAGCGATTTAGGCACGTTAGAGATATACAGTTTTGAGGAAAAGGTGCCACACTCCTATGTAATGATGGCTGATAGCTGGGCCTGCACTAAGCCAGCAGCTTCCATTTACATTATATTAAAACTCATTGAAAATATCATTCCAGAGTGCATCCCATTCTCCACACTATTGGGTCACTAAAATCATAAAGGAAATTGAATGAGTTTAACTGGATTGCATGGACACCCCAGCCAGTTCATGAGTTAGCACCTGACAAAAAACTCAGAGGGTATGTACTCAGTGCGAAGTCTTGTTAGAAAAAAAGGTATTTATAGCATAAGTGGCTTCACTTACTCCCTCTGAAATACAAATTTGTTATCATTTTAGTAACTGGGATTTGAGACTGAACACAGCTTTGGGATTCTAAGCCTTCAGATGTCTGGACCATTGAATAATTTCGGCTGAGATGCAAGTTTTCATATCTTTATGTACCAGAGCGCTGAGCTTCTGGTTTACTCAACTACTTTGCAAGTCTGCATTCCCGCATGAACTCCTTGGGAAGGGGCCTCTATCACTGCATTCTCAGAGTCCAGCAGTGGCTGTGAGGTTGTGAGTACTTTACAAACACACGATTGGGAAATGAGACTGTCCAAATCATACACAGAACCTAAATTTCATTGAACTGCTTTCTCTCTTACCAGGAAAAGGAAGCCAAAGAATTGCCATGTAGGAGAACATAGCTCATCACATCACAGGTTGGAGAGTTATACAGTGCTGACTCTGTCACTCAACCTGTGTGACCATGGACCAACCAGTGCATTGGCAAAATGGGTGCAGTGATAATGCCCACATCAGAAGGCACTGTGAATGTCTGAGGCAAAGTATGTACAGCCTGCAGCATGGCCCTTGGCACAAAGGAAGGGTTCAAGAAATACTGGTATAGCACTGTTGCTAAACATTTTAAAAATTAAAAAACGTTCATTCCACTTTTGTTTCAGTATCATTAAAAGAAATCAACTCAACTTGAGTTAGACACTCTCTGATGACTTCCTTATAGAATAAAATAGTGTTTTCAGACTCGGCTTACAGACTTGTGGTGACATATGTACAAAGGGCACTATTTTATGTGCACAGGATAGCAAAGGAAAGTGATCTGAGATTTAGAAAGCATATTGTGGGGTGGTCCCCAAATGGCTATAAATCAAGAGCATCAGTAACATTCTATCTCTCCTAACTGCCATGATGATGAACATCTGCATAAATATTAAAGAATTTATTCATTCATTCTTTGAAATATTTATCAAGCCCACACTATATTCAGTAAATTTTTTTTTTGCTGGAGATTGAACCCAGGGTCTACCACTTGGTAGGTGAGTGTCCTACCACTAAGTCATAGGAATAGCGCAGGCACTTGTGCTTGTGAACCATTAGTAACACGGATGAGGCCGCCTGATCGCATGGAACTTGCATTCCAACGGGAAGCAAAATTTGCCTACAAGCAAGCATCTACTTAGTCATTCCCTCCCTTAACAGCAAATAACAGTGCATCATTCAGTCCCACTAGAATCTGTATTGCTCCTAAAGACCTTCATATTTTTATCTTGACTGTTAATCCCTTTTATTCATGCTGGCTTCTGCAACAGAGACTGACTGTAATCTGCCTCACAGGTATGAGGAAATAGTATAGTTACTATTAAGGCTAAGCACAAAATTACAAGAACGAAGCACCTTATTTTTATAACTAAGTAGAGTGGCAATTATCAGGTTTAGCCTAAATGTGCTAACTAAAAATATAACATAATGTGATGCCCCTTTTTTTTCATTTTCTGTTTGCTATGGTAGACAAGCAGTTCCTCTTCCTTCCGCATATACACTGCTTTCCCATGAAGTCCTGAAATAAAGAGCTTTCTCTTGAGAATAGGTATTATTTGGATATGACTCTTTCTCTCTCAGCTACATGCAAGCAACACTAGATTTACAAACCAGGAAGAATTTTAAAGTTAATGAAAGTGCCCTTTAGGAGAATACCATGAACGTTTTTCAAAATGGTGGGATAACACAGGAAGGAAGCAACTTATTGGGTTATTATTAGCTAAAATAAAAGAGGAACTGAAAAGGCTTTAAAGTCCTGCATGCACATGCCTACTGAGCTGGGTCCTTTATTACCTGGCTGCAATGAGATCCAGGAGATGCTGCCAGCGGTCGTTGACCTTTCCCAGCTTGTACTCAATCTCAGATGCTTTGCTCTCATGGCTGGCTTTGGCAAGTCGTTCTCCCATTTGCTGGAGCTGTATTTTGTTCTCTTGGGCAACAGCAATTTCCTCTTGGTAATCCTGTGTAGCAATCCCAGAGATCAGAAAGCATATTCTTAACGCATTCACTCAACTTCTCTAGAAACATGGTAATTACAGTTTTCCACTGGTTGGAAGTAGTTTGAGCATGAGGAACACCATGTGAAAATCAGTACATGTGCACAAGAATTAGTAGTATGTACCTATTATTTTCAGCATGCATGCATTTAGTGTGGATTGAGTTTTAAAAAAACTGATTGATTGACTATGGTACTGGGGAGTGAACCCAAGGCCTTTGCGCTGAGCTCCATTCCCAGCCACCACTCCCCAGTCTTTAACTTTGAGAGAGTCCTTTAAGTTACTAACTTGCCCAGGCTTGGCTCAGACTGCAACCCTCTCCAATCACCCTCCCAGAGTGATGGGATTACAGGCTTGTGTCACTCCATGTAGCTCAGATCAATTTTGATACAGGTATTCTTGGAGGGATAAGGAGGTGCCTTCCATGTAGTTAAATGGACATTAAAACAGTAAAAGTACACAGGTACGAAACTTGAAAGTCTTAATATGGGAAATTATATTTTATTGCTCAATCACTAACCTGATTGCATATTTAGAATTCATCCTCATAGAAATAGTTGAAAAAAAAATCTTATAACCATTTCTATTGCTTTTCAGAATGAATAAAACCACAATTCATCCATTCAATACAAATGAACTAAATTCTGAGTTCTTTTTAAGTTTTTTTGTTAGAACATATTTGCAATACATACTGTTTACATTCTTGTGAGGATTTGGTATATTACACAACTTAAATTCTTTTTTTATCCCCTTTCCTTCCTTCCTTCCTCTTTCCTTCATCTCTTGGTCTCCATCCCATTTAAAAAGACCTATCCCCTTATTTCCTATTATTTATCTTTTATTTTGCTCTTAGTTATAATTTAGGTTTCTCATACAAGAGAAGCCATGTGATATTTAAGCTTGTGTGTCTGATTTATATCCCCTAACATTATGTGTCAAGCTGCATCTATTTTCCTACAAATGACTTAAGTTTATCTTTATGGCAGAGTAGTACTCCACTGTGTGTAAATACATTTTCTTTATCTATTCATGTGTTAATGGATGTATAAGCTGCTTCCAAGATTTAGTTAATATGAATTGTGCTACTAGAAAACATGTGTATATATGCATCAGTGTAATATGATCATGTTTTATAAAGAAAATTTCAGTTTACTTTACCCTAAGAATATTTTTCTTGTGGCTCCTCTCTAGTAATTTTCTTGTCTCTTTAAAAACCGAAACAGAAGAACAAAATAAGGGAAAACAAATGCAAATGATTCCTGCTACAAAGATGGCAGATAATCTCTTTCATCACAAATTGAAAGTATTCTGTATATTTTGCATATAAAATAGGCCTTCTCAAGCACGTCTGTTTCAAGTCTAAAAGATAAACTAAAGAAATATGGTGTTCTTTAGACAAGGAAGTAATTGCAAAGCCATCTGCTGCACCTGCTGCAAGGATACTGGAGTGCTCTGTGGCATGGAAGCCTGAGCCTTCAGGCACACTCACCTTCTTGAGCTTCTCTATCATCTCCTCGATGAGAATGTCTCCATTCTGAGAGACTTTGCTTTCCATCTGAGTCAGCCACTCACAGAGCTCCTTGTTCTTTTCACTGAAGACTGCCCATTCATTCAGTCTTTCACCTACTTGCTGCCGCCTTAAGGAGACCTGGAAAGTGGGAGAATATGCACAAGGTGATGAGAGAGGACCTTACACCATCAGGATAACAGCCTTAACCTGATGTTGGGTGGATTGAAATGAGCAATGTCTTTTTGTGCACCTCTTAAGCCCACTGCTGCCTGAAATATAGAGTTAGCCATCAGTTGCAAGTGGGAGATGTTGAACCCTCATTTATTTCCTGGAGATCCACACGCACACCCAAATGTTGAAGGTTCTGAAAAATCCAACTCCACAAAACAGTTGGTTCATCTTAGCTCGGACATGTGGTCGGTGAATATACTAGGGCTAAAACAGAGGGAAGAAATTGCGAAGAGTAGGAAGAGAGGGACAGAAGGGAAGAAAAAGGGAGGAAGAAGGAGGGAAATGAAGAAATGGAAAAAGAAAAATATAAATAGAGAAGGAAGGGGAAGAGGAAGGAGAGAAGGAGAATCAATTAAGCCTCAGCTATCTGCAGAAACAGAAGAACTCGGCTATCTGAGCTCAGGAGAGCAGACTAAGGAGGGAGGTGTGATTCCTGATCAGTCTGTCCAGATGAGTGTGCTTTGAGAAAGGCCCTTTATTTTGCTACTCTTAAGTTTTGAAATTTTATTTAATTTTACTTGTTTTCCTTCTTTTGGGACATAGCTGCTTTATTGAGATAGAATTCCCATACCAGTCAGTTTATCTGCTCAAAGCATGCATACCAGTGGTTTTTAGTACACTGAGAGAGTTGCACAACCATCACCACAGCCAATTTCAGAACATTTTTACCCCCTCCCTGTTCCAGAGATAACCTCGAGGCCTTCACCAGTCATTCTTTTCCCTCCATTTCTAACTCTTAGCCCTTGTCTCTATGCATTTGCCTATTCTGGACATTTCATACACGTGGAATCATCTGATGGGTGGAATTTTGTGATTGGCTTCTTTTACTTAGCATATTTTAGAGGTTCACCCATGCTTCAGCATGTATCCATGGTTTATTCTTTTTTATGGCTGAGTATATTCCATTACACGGTTATAGTTTTATTTATCCATTTATCTACTCATGGACATTTGGATCGATTCCATTTTTGTCTACTATGAATAATACTGTTACAAACCTTTAGGTACAAGTGTTTGTGTGGCTGTATTTTCATTTCTCTTAAGATACATACCTAGGAGTATAGCTACTGGGTCATATGGTAACACCATAGATATTCTCCAGAGTAGCTATACCATCTTACATTTTCACCAGAGTACAGTTCAATTTTTCTACAACCTTATCTATACTTGTTATTACCTGTCTTTTTTATTATAGCCATGCTAGTGAGAGTGAAGTGTTATCTCACTCTGGCTTTGATTTGCACTTTTCTTATGACTCATGATGTTGACAATCTTCTCACATGTTTCTTGGCCATTTGTACAAGGTGTGCTCAAAATATATGGTAAATGTTTAAACTAAAAACATTATTATAGTAAAAGACACATTGCCATTAATCCTCCTCAAAATACTCCTCACTGCAAATATACTTATCCCATCACTTTTGTCACTTTCTGAAGCAGTTCTGGAAATTTTCCTTCATGTCTTCACGGGGTATGATCAAAAGTAGGGCAAGTGCTGCAGTTGAGTGCCAGTGTGTACTGTTACATTGGACGTGGCACTGTGCAATTTTTATCTCTCACCCAAGGTCAAAATGTCATTGAAAGGTATATGTTTTACATTGATTCAAGGTATCTGGGCAGTCATCTACTCTAAGAGCACAGCTAAAGACACTCAGGAAAGAAGACTCCAAGAACTACTTCAGAAAGTGGAAAGAATGATGAAATAGTTTGTTCAAAGTGACAGGGAGAATTCTGAAGGGGATGAACGGCAATATGACTTTTGCCATAGTAAGTTTTTTAAAAATTTAAATATTCATTGTATTTTTTATCATACCTCGTATGTCTTCTTTGTAGAATCTACCAAGTAAATTCCTTTCCCTCCTTTTAAAAATTGAGTTCTTTCTTTATTATTGAGTTTGAAGCGTTGCTTTATACATCATAGACAATGGGCTTATTTCTTTGTATGTAGGTCTAGAAAATCATTTTCTAGAATCTAAATCAGAATCTAAAATTCTGATTTCATAATATTCTTGTTTCTGTAGTGGTGGTGGAGTTCACAAGGAATGCTTCCAGTGGTGCTAAATTGCACATCAGCAAACAGCATGATGAGCCCTACGAAGGTTTGCAGATGGCCTTCCACACAGATCTCTTACTGCTACCTTCCGCTGTTGGTTCCACAGCATTCACACATCCCTCTAGACTTCCTGTCTCTCTTCTTTTAATATTTTATAATGAAAAATTTCAAAGCAAATAAAAATCTAAAGAATTGTATGCCACACAACAAGGACATAATCTCTAGACTCTAAAATTATTAATATTTTGCCACATTTTCCTTTAAACATACATTCCTGAATCTATCAGCACATTTACTTTTTGTGTACTTTAGATGAATCTCCTTTTTTTTAGATGAAAATGAAAATATTTCAAAAGTGCTATGTACTTCCTGGCTATAAATTCTGCTTGGGATTGGCTCTGTGAATAGTTAGGCAGATAATATTTATAGGCCTGTACAATCCTAAATTTTCATGATTCTGTATGTGAGAGAACAGTTCATAATTAGCCATGATCCTGGCTTCCTTTCCGATGACCAGTTTTAGAAACTTGAGCTGTCCATATAGTGAGCCCCATAACCTACCACAGTTTGTGAAATTTCACCATTAAAAATTCATACTTTTGAGATAATTATAATCCTTTAAAATAAAAAATTTACTGGATGAAGTGTTACTGATGAATCCATCAAGTATTTTCCCATTACTATAACTTGGTTTACCACAAAACTTTCTTTGAGGCCAAATAATACAGAACAGTCACAGGGCAGCAAACTACCTGGGGGCAGGGACTGGTGGGAATAGAGAAAGGTAAGCAAACGTAGGTTAAAAAGTTCTGTGAACACATTTCATCTACTCTAAACTCCCAGGATGGTACTAGAGAGCAGGATGGTTTAGAGTCCTCGCCTCTCAACTCTGAGTAGAGTGGCTCTGCTCTGTGGGAATGCTAGGATTACAAACTTCTGGTGGATGCGACTTTTTGTTTGTAATCACATAGCAGCTGCATCAG